AACAAGTATACTTTTACTCTCTGCTTCTATGAGTCAACTTTTTGAAATTTGACATATACATAAGATCATTTAGTATTTGTCTTTCTGTGTCTGGCTTATTTCACTTACTGTAATGCCCTCTGAGTTTATCCATGTTGTCACACATGGTAGGACTTTCTTTCCTTTTTAAAGGCTGAATAGCATTCCATTGTATGTATATGCCACATTTTCTTTATCCACCCATTGTGGCTAATACAATAGTGCTGAACACAAAAGTGCTAATATTTCTTTGAGATCCTACTTATGTTTTTTTGGCAATATTACCAGAAGAAATTGCTGGATCATATCGTAGTTCTATTTTTAGCTTTATGAAGCACACCCATACTGTCTTCCATAGCAGTTGCACCATTTTGCATTCTCACTTACAGTGTACAAGGGTTCCAATTTTTCCATATTATCACACCTGTTGTCTTCTTTTCTTTCTTTATGATGATAGCTATACTAACAGGTATCAGGCAATATCTCCTTGTGGTTTTGATTTGCATGTCCCTGATTAGTGACACTGAGTGTCTATTCTTTTACTTCCTTCCTTTTTTTCTTTATTTTTTCCTTAGGTTTTTGTCATAGGGTATGTGTGCTCACTGGGGAAAGACAGAAAGCAAGAAAAAGTGAGAAATCACCCTCCTAGGAGGTTGGGTCATGCCACAATCCCTTCTCCTCCGTTCTTCTCTTGGGATTTTGGTCACAGATGCACATGCTCCCAGTGTGATTTAAAAGTTGCAGGATCTGGAACCTGAACCATAGTTGATCATGTGGGAATCCAGTGCTTTAACCACCACACCATATGTTGGCCCTGTTGAGTGTCTTTTCATACATCTGTGGAGCCATCACATTTCCTGATTTCAAAACATATTACAAAGCTTCATTAATAAAAGTGGTATGGTACTAGCATAAACACAGATATATAGACCCATGGAACAGAACGAAAAGCACAGAAAGAAATCCATGAATATGCATGGTCAATGGATCTTTGACAAAGATACCAAAATACAAAATAAGGAAAAAACAGTCTCTTCAGCAAATAGTTCTAGGAAAACCAGATATCCACATGCAAAGCAATTAAATTGATACCCTCATATTACACCATACAAAACAATCAACTCACAAAATGAGGGATGACCTGGTAGTGCAGGTATTAACATTTGTGCATTTGGAATTGGATCCCACATGGCCGAATGCAGTTTGAATTTTGGCCCCAGTGGCTTGAAAAATACTAGGCATTTGGATCAGCAGGTGGCATGGTGGTTAAGGGCATATGGTGGACCATAGTTTGAGTCCCAGAATTGGCAGCTTGCTTTCTTACTTTCTCTTTCTTTCCCCCTCCCTCTCTGGTCTAAGCAAAATAAATAACAATAATTTTTTATAAAATTAAAGAAAATAATTAAAACAAAAAAAGAAAAATACCAGACACATGTCCATGTGTGCTCCAAATCCTGATGGGATGAATAAATGAAGAATAAAGAATTAAGGCATAACCATGCCCCATTGAAAGGGTGTTTTCTCTCTATGGAAAATTTAAAAAAAAAAAAATTGGGCCAGCCAGCTGGCACGGTAGTTAAGGCAGCTAGATCCCATGTGGCTGACCTTATGATATGAGTGCTGGACCCAGCAGTTTAGAAAATACATCTAGCACGTGTGTGTGCATACCAAGAAGAGAATGGAGGAGAAAGAATTATGGAATAATTCTTCACTTTCCTCTGTCTCTCTCTGCCTCTCTCTCTCTTTGGTGAAAGCATACACCCAATAGCATTAACAACAACAAAAAAATTAATTGAAGATTTAAAAATAACATTTGAAACTATAAAACTAGATTAAAACAGGAAAAAAGCTTCATGACCTTGGTCTTGGCAATGATTTCATGAGTATGACCTCAAAAGCACAGGTAACAAAAGCAAAAATGGACAATGGGGACTACATCAAACTGGAAATCTTCTGCACAGCAAAGGAAACAATTAGAGTAAAAAAGGAAACCTACAGAATGGGAGGAAATATTTGCAAACCATATATCTGATAAGGGGTTAATTTCCAAAATATATAAAGAACCCATATAACTCAATAGCAAAATAGTAATAATAATCCAATTTAAAAATAGGCTAAGGACTAGAATAGACATTTCCCCAAAGACATACAAATAGTAATCTGTAGTTTTTAAAAAATGAGTTAATTAATTAATTACTTTAGTTTTGCTATAGAATGCATGCACTCACCAGAGAAAGATCGCAGGGGAGTAAGAAATCACCTCCAGGGACATGGCCACATCCTCATCTCTTCTTTTCCCATCTCTTTGGGATTTTGGACACACATACACACTCTTGGCATGATTTTCAAGCCATTAGGTCCAGTACTCAAACCATGACATCAGCCATGTGGTAATCAGTGCCTTAACCTCCATGCCACCTACTGGCCTGTCATGGGTAGTTTTTGATCAACAACAACTTTTAGGGATTAGAAAAGGCATCTTGACCCTCTAGGATTAAATTTCTTCTATTAATTCAAATTAATTATTAAGAGGTTTGTCAAAGGGCCAGCAGGCAGCATGGTGGTCAACATGCTGGATTACCATGTGGCTGACCATGGTTCAAGTCCCAGACCTGGCAGCATTTTTCCTCTCTCTCTGGTCAAATTTTTAAAATAATTATTATTAACTAAATAAAATAATTCTTTTTTTCAATTTATAAGAGGCTCATCAAGAATATTTTCAGTGTGAGCCTGGCCCGTGAGCCCACTGTTGTGCCCACAGGTCACATCATGCCCTCTCTCCTGCCAGTGTCCCACTCCCTGACCCTGCCATACTGTCTCTAGACTTTCTGGACAATGTGTGGTGGATGAACAAGCAACTGCTCTATTATCAAGTCCTAAATTTCAAAATGATTGTCTCTTCAACACTACTGATCTGGAAGGGGTTAATGGTAATAACTGGAAGTGAAAGTCCAATTATAGTGATGCTCAGTGGCAGCACGCAACCTGCATTTCATAAAGATGATCTCTTCCTAGCAAATCGAGTTGAAGATCCTGTCTGAGTGGGAGAAATTGTCATTGTTTAGGATAGAAGGAAGAGAGATTCCTATAGTTCACCGAGTCCTAAAGATTCATGAAAAGTAAAATGGGCATATTAAGTTTTTAACCAAAGGAGATAATAAAGCAGTTGATGACTGAAGCCTCTGCAAACAAGGACAACACAGGCTAGAAAAAAAAAGATGTCGTGGGCAGAGCCAGAAGATTCGTTCCTTGTATTGGAATTGTGACGATCCTCATGAATGACTATCCTAAATTTAAGTATATAGTACTGTTTTTGCTGCATTTATTTGTGCTGGTCCATAGTGAGTCTGCCTTGTTGGGCCAGCAGGTGGCATGGTGGTTAGGGGCGCTGGACCCCCACATGGCTGACCATGGTCTGAGTCCCGGACCTGGCGACTTGCTTTGTCACTTTCCCTCTCTCTCTCTCTCAGTGTTCAAATTAAAATAATAAATAAATAAAAAGTTAAATAAAATAATTATTTTTAAGAAAAGTGTAACCCATCCAAACAAATTTTATGAAAAAAAAAAAAAAAAGGTCTGCCTTGCTGTCCCTGAGAAGATGCTGTAAATTTTTGTTACTGAATATTTAGAGTAGATACTGGTCTATGCATGTGCACCATAGTGGACTCGTGGGGACTTTTTTTTTTTTTTTTTTTAGAGAGGTTTTTTGCTATAGGGCGCGTGCACTCGCCAGACAGACAGAGAGAGACAGAGAGACAGAAAGTGAGAAATCACTCCCCAGGGGGGATGGTCACGCTGCAATCCCTTCTCCTCCGTTCTCCTCTCAGGCTCTTGGGCACGCACGCACACGCGCCCGGTGTGAGTTTTAAGCCACTGGGTCTGGGACGCGAACCGCGGTCAACTACGTGGGAGTCCAGCGACATAGCCATTACGTTAACTGTTGGTTCCCATCATGGGGACTTTCAATCATAGAATTTCATATGGTTTTTTTTTTTGCACATCAATGAACTTTTTATATTAAAAGTTTGAGCCCAAAAGAAAAGAATTTTTTTTTTAATTTGGATAATTAAATTGGTTTTCTTGAAAAATGAACAAATGGGCCTCACAAGAGTGACCAAAAGATCATTTTAATTGATAATATATATGTTTTTAGTTGATAGTTATGTATTTTAATTTTTTAAAAGAATTATTTTATTTTATATTTATTTATTTGATTTCAATTTGACCAGAGAGAAACAGAGTGAGAGAGAGAGAGAGAGGGAAAGTGAGAGAGCAAGCCACCAGGTCTGGGACTTGAATCATGGTTGGCCATGCAGGAGTCCAGTGTTCTTAGCCACCATGCCACCTGCCACCCCCAGGTATTTTAAATTTTATCCTTTCTAATAAGAGTCATTTAATACATGAATAACTAAATGAGATTAAACTTATTTTTATATAATTTTTTCTACATAAGTAAATTTAGGTATCAGAAATCTTTTTTTATATCAATTTGGGCTAAAAATTACTGTGTTTAGTAAATAACCATTAGCAATTAACCCTTACTGACCTGAGGAAATCACTCACAGGACTTGGGTTTTGTGCCAAATGGAAGTGCTGTTCTCCACACCTTAGATATCTGTTGTTTCAACTGTACCAAAAGATAAGATGTAAGTGTTGTTATTAGTGACAAGAAGAGCATTTTGACAGCCTCTGCATACATGGGCTTCAGTAGTAACAGTCACCGTGCGTTGAGTATTGACTATGGATACACCAGGGACTTCATGGAGTAACTGAAAATTTGTATTTGAATTGTTCACAGTAAGTGAAAAATGAAAAGAAATTATAACATTTCTCACCAAGAAAGGGTAGAATTGAGCCATTGTTAAGTTTTTATTTTTACTTTATTTTTTATTGTGGTATAAAATACACAACATAAAATTTACTATTTTAACTGTAAGAGTACATTTCAGAGCCATTAAGCATATTTACATTTTTATACAACCATCACCACCATACATGTCCAGAAATTTTCATCTCCCCAAACTCAAACTATATTCATTAAACACTAACTTCTTGTTCCCATCAAGCCCTTCCAAGTTTTCACTAAGATAGCACCATCTTTTTATCACGATGGAAAAAACATAACAGTGATTATGTGAAACCATTGGCCAGCAACTCCTCCTCAAATATACTTACATATTGATAAGAAACTGGTCAGAAGTTTCTAAAGCTCCTGTAAAATCTACGAAACAGGCCAACCCATAGGACAGTGGTTAAGTGCTGTGCTGGGTCTGGATCCCACGTGGCTGACTGTAGTCCAAATGCTGGCCCTAGTGACTTGAAAAACATTCCAGGCTGCTGTGCATGCATGCATGTGTGCCCCAAATCCTGACAGGACTGAGGAATGAGGAAAAAGGATTATGGTGTGACCACGCCCACTATGGAGGTGCTTTCTCCCTGGCAATAAAAAGTAAATAACAATAAAAAATAAAACTCTTAAAATAGCTCTGGGCCAGACCTGTAACGTAGTGGTTATGTACAATGCCTTGGGAACCAGATCCCATGTGGTCAACTTCGGTTTGAATCCTGTTCCTGGAAGCTTGAAAAACAAGCTAAGTGCATGTGTATATGTGCCCCAAATCCTGATGAAATGGAAAAATGTGGCATGACCATGCCCTCCCTAAGGGATGCTTTCTCGTTTTCTCTGGCAACACAAGCACCCTCTGACAAAAACAAACAAAAAACAGGCAAAACAATCAAGAATCTTAGCCATAAGCTAAGAGGCAGTGGGTCTAGAGTGTGAAGTCTGGTATGGCCAGGGAAATGGCTTCATGAGAGGGTATACCTCTGTGTGGATGACACAGAAGCATTGCTTAATTCCACTTTTACATCCCTGGGACAAGCTCTGAAGCTCTGTGCATAATAATGATGAAATAATAAGTAGGGCTATGTTCTATCCTAAGCATCTTAAATATATTACATCTACCATCAACTCCTCACAATTTGTTGTGATACTGGTGTCACTGTTACTCTTGTTTTACAGATGAGGAAACCGAGGTATAGGGCCAAGAATAAGTAAATGATAGAAAAGTCCCAAGCAGGTGGCACACCCAGTCCCATTATCCACTACTTCAGGCAGTGGGCAGCAATTTCAGGGGCTTTCTAGATTGGCAAAGTAAACTGTCCAAATTATTCTACAAAACAGAATACTTTGACTCTAGAACCAGGCAATTGTCCACATCTCCACAAAAAAATCCCATTTTACTGTATCTTAAATGACTTTGGCAGCCGATGTGCTATATGACCTCATGCTCAGAGTGTAGTCTATGGCGCCTCTTGGGAGCTTATTTGAAATGCTGAATCTCAGGCCTGCACACCATTTAAAGAGTCAGAATTTTAATAAGATTCTCTCAATTCCCTCCTCAACCCCTACCCATGTGTGGCTTAAAGTGGCATAGGTCTGGCAGAGGCAGATGCTAGAGTCCAAAAGGCCAAGCTTAGACCACAGTTGTCTGACTTGAGGACAAGAGACTCAGTCTCTATCCTTGTACAGTGAAGGTAACTCTCTCAAAGTGTTTTTTGAAGGTGAAATACGATGACATACACATTCAGAAGTGTCATAGTGCAGTGTTGCACAGTGCAGATTAGTTTCCTTCCGCATCAGGGGAAAAATGTACTAGTAATTTTTAAACAGCAATGTTTTAAGAAAACAATCTGGTATAACAGTTATAAATAGTAAAAAAATGAAATTAAAAAATAGTACCTGGGATTGAGTTTAAAGTATAGGACCTACACTAACAAGATAGAAAATAAAACAGAAAAAAAAAAGTGTTTATTGGGCCAGCAGGTGGAATGGAAGTTAAGGCAGCTGTATCATACATGGCCAATCACAGTTCAAGTCCTGGACCCAGCAGCTTGAAAAATCATGACAGGCACATGTGTGTGCATGCCTAAAAATCCCAAGAGAAGAATGGAAGAGAAGGGATTACAGTATGGTCATCCTTCCTTGGCATGACTTCTCATTTTTTTCTCTCTCTCTGTCTCCAGCGAGTGCTTGAGTTCTCCTGATAGCAAAAACAAACCAAGAATGTAAGTGCTCAAAACAGAAAAAGGATGAAAAGATAGAGGAGAAAGAGTTGCGATGTGACCATGTCCTATTGGAGGGTGCGGGTGATTTCTCACTTCCCCTCTCTCTCTCTCTGTCTCTTTCCTGTGAGTGCAAACACCCTTATAGCAAAGTAAAAAAGAGAAAAAGAATTTATCATAGCAAAATGTACCATGTCTCTGGACAATAAACCTCAATGTAGTAACGCTACCCCGTCTCCTGCAATTAATCAATACGTGCAGCACAAATCCAATCAGTATTTTATGTAGTTTTAATTTTTGAAATTTGACAAAATGATTATAAAGTCGTTCTGGAAGAACAAGCATGTGAGAAGGGACAAAGAAAAGTATTTTTACAAAGAAAATAACAGGTGGAAATGGGAGCTACCTTCTACCCAGGTACTAACCCTGGCACTCATTTTTTTTTTCACTTTTCTGCACCTGTGTTATATATTAATAAAAAGACCACTTGTACATATACACATGCATGTACACACATACAGTGTTATAGCCACTGGATGAGAAAGATAAAAGAACAGAAAAGTGCAGAACTATCCCATATATGATGAAAAATGGAATTCACAGTCAACGGAGAAAATATGGTTAATGAAAGACTGGTTAATATTTAGGGAAAAAAATTAAGTGAAATATATCATCCTTTACTCCTCCCCGCCAAAAAAGTTGTAACTGTAGCAAAGTTTTAAATTTTAATCAAAATCATGCACAATTTTAGATGTATAATTTCTAATCAATTCATATATTGTCCATAAACTTGAAGAGAAGGTTTTTCTTGAATGATAATAAGCCTGGAAACCAGTAAAAAAAAGAGGCTGACAGATGACAGTCAAAACTTATGTGTGGCAAAGGATGTAAATATCACTGAAAAAAAGGTGAAAATGACACACTGGAAAAAATACCTGTGTCACATGAGAGAAAACAGACTTTACAGCCTTACTATACAATAAACTCTTTAAAATAAATAATGGAAAGACAAGTTTCTGGATCAACTACCACTTTACAGGAAATACAGAGGTCAGAGAAGTACATAAAATGAAAGAGGCAATTAGTAAAATCTTGAGACAACTCTACAAATTAGATTATTGAAAAATATACTGTGAAGAGAAAAAAGAAGAAGGGAAACTCTTCAATCAAAACACAGAAACATCAACTAGTCACAATATATAGATCTTATTTGAATCTCAATTCAAATGAGTTGTAAAAAAAATAAAATAAAACCCAGTATTTATGGGGGCCAGATGGTGACACAGCCATATAGCGCAACACGCTTTAAGGCCAACCCACAAGGGAAGGTTCTGATTGGCATCTGTAGACCTCCCCAAGTATGTCAGGCATACACGTGCCCATGATCTGGGCTGGCTAAAGTTGAAGATGGACTACAGCATTAAGACCCTGTTGGGGTGCTGTCTCTCACTTGCTCATTCATAGAAGAAAATTTCAAAAGAATATTGTACAAAATTGATGAAACATGTAAAAATCTGATTAAAAAAAACTAGTGATTTCATCATGTAAGGAATTGTTGTAAATTTTGCATTGAAAATGACAATTATATTGTGGTCATGCCTTTTTAATGTCTCTTTTGGTGAGACGCACTGAAATATTTATAGGTGAAATAATATTATGTCTGGTATTTGCTTCCAGTACTTGGTGGGTGCTGGGAAAGGGGCAGCTGTAAAGTAGTTGGGCAAAACTGGTCATGGGCTGACCATCACCGGAGCTGGAGGAGAGCTAAATAAACTATACTGTCTGTTCACCCTACCTTTGTTGTGTATTCAAAATGTTCCAAGTTATGGAACCAGCAGGTGGCGTGGTGGTTAAGGCGCTGGACAAACCCGCATGGCCGACCACATTTTGAGTTCTGGACCTTATGGCTTGCTTTCTCACTTTGTCTCTCTCTAGTCAAATTGAAATTAATGAATGAATAAATAAAATTCAATAAATAATAAAAAAAAATGTTCCAAGTTAAAACAAAACCCAGCTCTGCCTAGTGCTGGTAAAGGGAGAGTAACATAGGCTCTTGGTACTACTTTCCAGAGGACAGAAAAGAAGAATGTACCCTCTGATCCAGCAATTCAATGTCTAGAATGGTCTCTCATAATTATAAAGCTTTATAAAAATGTGTATATAAATGTTTATATAGCAATTTTTGCAATATCAAGTGGTAGAGAGATACAATCTAAATGCTCATTATGAAGACTGGGTAAATGCACTGTGGTGTTGGAGAAAGTTTTCTAAGGCTATACATCAGAATGTTAACATTACTTCTGAGTTAGGGATTATGGATGACTTCTTTTTCACTTACCTATATTTAGATTGTTTTTCTTTAATAATATGGATTTCAAGTGTAATTTTTTTTTAACATTTTAAACAAATTTGGGGCCAGCTGGTAACACAACTGGACCCACGTGGGAAAGATCCTGGTTTCAAGCAAGTCCTGGGACCTCTGAACATGCCAGGCACATGCATACCCATGATCCAGGCTGGCTAAGATAGGGTGGATTACAGCCTGAGGACCCTTTTGGGGATGCCTGTCTCTTTGTCTCTTTTTATTGTGGAAATAAATAAATAAATAAGTTGAAAAAATGAAAATAAACTATTTTTTGAAAGGAGGCAAAACATTTCAAATGATGTTAACATATCTTTGTAACCATTTACCAGGCTTCTGAATTTTCTGAATTTTTATAATTTGTTTTAGAAACCGCTATGAATTTATTTTGTGAAACTATTAAAGATTTGTTTTGATAGTTTTAGCCCTTATATATAAAAAAGCAAACAATGACATAATAATTAAAGAACAAATTGAAAATTTATCTATTGAAAATACACACGTGTAAGTGTCTAGTCTGTTTCCTTGGGGTATAAGAAAATGTCTTTTTCTTCCTCATTTGACAAGAAAACAAAGATAAAGCACTTTAAAAGGATAATCCCATTTCATGCTCATCATGGGTGCATCAAAGCCCAGTTTAGTGGAATCTATGCAGGTTTTGCCTATTAGTTAATCTGTTTTAGTACCTGTGGTGCTGACAAATTAATTTGGCAGGGAGAAATGGCTCTATTTGGGGAAAGTTAACACGACCATGTGGGCCAGCTCTTCCAGGTCATCCCTGTAGGACATGCAGTCATGCCTCCTGTTTGGCACATCCAACATCCAGCTCTCATTTCACTTCCCAGAGGTAAAGACGCTTCCCAACATTTACCTGCACACTTTACAAACAGCCTGTTCAAAGAAGGCACATTTAGTGTTGCTTGAGGAAGAGCTGTCAAAGTCACAGCCTGTTCTAAGGTGGAATATTCTGTCACCTTTTAGAATGATGTTTCCCCACAATGACTTAGAAGGACATTCGCTATGTAGCATTGAGTTAGAAACAAAAAAGAAGCCCGCATCTGGAGTGTGAATGCAGGTAAGTCAACAGTGGCCATCTGTGATGAGTGTGTTAGTTTTTCTTTCTGTTTTCCATCATCTTTTACAATGAACAAGTATTATCATTACAATAATAATTAAAATCACTTGAAAGAAGAGACTCTATCAAAAGATTCTTTTCCATCATACTTCGTAGGCTGCAGGGCCCAAAATGAGGCTAGATGGGAGGAGTAGAGGTCATCCTTCTGGCTAGGGAAGATTTTGGAGGTGGGAAGGTGGGGCCAAAGGCCAGGTTGGGTGGGAGCCAGTTGTGACAGCAGTCAGGTGAGTGTGGGGTGGATGTGCCACACTCCAGGAGAGCATGATCAGGATGGGTTCCTTCCCAGGACAAGGTCAGAGTAGGATGGGCTCTGACATGCGCATGGTCTAGGAAAGACAGCCTGGAAAGCTAGAATTTCAGAGCATTTTATTTTGTGACCCGTACCAAGCAGACTGAAAATGTTGAGAAAATACTGACTCCACATCTCTCGGGTGCCCTCTAACAAGCTCTTCCATATTAGTACTTTCTTAACAACCTAAGAATTCTAGGCATTTGTGACAAAACTGCAGTTCCCAAAATAATGGGCAGCTTCACCTCACTCTTTTTGTCTTTAACAGTGTTGTAATCTTTCTGGCCTTTTTGCTTTTTTAGAAAAGGTATCCTGCACTGGTTCTGAAGGGGCTATGCGGTAGAGTAAAGGAAGACAACATTGAAGGGTCGCCATGCCCTTGGTGTAAGCTCTTGTATTTAATACTAATCACAAACCCTGCGGGCTACCATCTCCACTGGAGGCTCAAGGAAGTTAAATGTTTCATCAAGGCCTCATGGCAAAATGTCTAGTGAATATGAGACTGGAAACCAAATCTGTCAACTAGAAATTGAAGAATTTTCCATGGGCAGGATGATGCATGAGGGTTGTTCTTTGCTAAGAAGTGTTCCCTTCATATATGAGGGAAGTTCAAAACGTTGTTGGAAAGTGAAATTAAAGTATAAATTTATTTTGGTAAAAAAATCAAAATCCATGCATAACTTTTGCATAATAGTCATTTTCCACAAACTTTTTGAAGACCCCCCCATACATAAAGAACTGAGACTATTTGTGTGCTACTTAAATTACCAAAATACCCATCTAAAAATATGTGAACATCTCTCTCCATGAATTTGAGGGAAAAAAGAAGTTTACACACAAAAAGAAAACACAAATCTGAGGGTTTTTTAAAAAGAGTTTTGTTTGTTTTGCTATAGGGCACGTGCGCTCACCAGAGAGACAGAGAAACAGAAAGTGAGAAATCCCCCCTCACAGGGAGATGGCCACACAGCAATCCCTTCTCCATTCTAGTCCCGTGTGAGTTTTAAGCCACTGGGTCTGGGACTCAAACTGCAGTTGACTACGTGGGACTCCAGTGACGTAACTATTATTATGCCAGTTGTTGGTTCCTAAATCTGAGTTTTAATTTTCTTCCATAAACATACAGATTTCATTTTGAAAAGAGAAGAACTAAAACTCTTCCAAAAAAAATTTTTTTAAGGCCACAAATTCCAATACCTTTTCCCTCTCTTTCAGCCTTGGTTGTCTGGCATGGATTGGGACTTCCCAATCTAGTCACAGCTCTGGGATTATAGGCAGGAGTAATGGTGAGATGTCTAGTAATTTTAGATAATTGACACCACAAATGGTATGGCAGTAGTTTCAGCATCGCATCTTCCTATGCTCCATTTTTCTAATATGAAATTCACCCCAGTACTGCATACCATGATCATTTATGGATTGTGCACTCCCAAATCCCAGTGCTGAGAATGGTCTCAGGTAGGGAACATGGTCCTAAGGAATAAAGTGATGAAAACATAAGAGTGTATTAGGAAATCCCACCCTCTTCTGGCTTTGGAAGGTTGAAGAACCTCAGACCAATTATATAATCCAGTGGTTTCTTTAGGTCCTTGTCTATCAAGTGACCAGGGTTATCTCAGGAAGCTTTCAAACCCAAGGAAAATAATGCCAATTTCCACAGCCAAAGGATACATAGAAAATCCAGGAGAAAATGAGAAAATTTCCATTTTAATATAAAAGGGGTCCCTGTCTCTGATAACTTCAGTTGGAGAATTACACAAAACAGATACTAGCATTCAGTAAAATTCATTTCAAGATTATAGAGCATTTTAAGTATAAAAATAAATTATTTAATTTTTAAAAGTACATATGCAGCCCTGGATATATCCACAGAAGAACTGAAAAGTATAAAATCAAGGCTACATCTGGATGTGATTTCATAAGTCACAAAGTTCCCAAACTTCATAGGAAGTTTGATATGGAGTTTTTCTTTTTTCACCTTTAAATAATGCAATTGATTTCTCCCTCAAGCAAGATACATTTGAAAGAAGGCTATAGTGAGTAATAACAACTTGGAGGTTCTTTTGAAGTGACATGGATTCTCCCAGCTCTCATGTGAGAGAGTATGGTGGCATAACCTGAATGAATAGATAAACAATCCCCCAGCAGAAACACCAGGCTGCTATTTGAACAGGTGGGTACCCAATCCCATCTGTAAGAGATTCATATTTGCTGTAACACAGAAGGTTCAAAGTCAAAAGCAGAATCTTCCTCTGTCCAGCTTGCATCTTCTAATGGTTCCCAGTATGGTTAAAATGTCCCTACAATAATAAAACAGCATATTGTGCAAGTTAATTTACCATAGCTAAATTAATATACCTTCGTTATACATTCACCAACACAAAACAGTGCATTTAAAATGACTAGGCTAACATTTCAAAATAATTTCTTAATTTCTGGACATGACTCTATGTGCCTCAGAGTTCTCAAAATTCTGAGGTGAGCATATATTTAGAGGTATGTTAATATATATTATAATTAAGATATTTAAAACACAGTGCCTGGTACACATGTTCTCAGTAAATGTTTCTGTTCTTTTCTACATAACTATGAAGGAGGGAAAAAAGAAAATGAAAATGTCATTCATATTTCATAAAATACATTTTCAAAAAATTATATCACCTAACATTGAATCAAGATTCAATACAAAAGCAATGTAGTGGGCTTCTCTCACTAAGGACATCAGGAAGTAACTCAAGCTAACAATCCCCACCAGGGCCCCTTGCCCCTCCCCTATCTCCTGTCACCTGCAGAAAGAATCGGGTCAACCAGATGGCTGAGGATGGACAGTTGGCCAGACACTGTACCACTGTGTAATGAGAAGTCTTGCCAGCATCTGGTAGTCTGGGCCACCCTTGGCCAAATAATGCCAACACATAGCAACCAAGGCAGGGCAAAGCCCAGTATCCCTGTCCTGCAGGGTTTAGAGCGTGATGATAAAAGTCTCCATCAGCTGGCTAAGGTTCAGGAAAGGTGGCGTGGGCTAGGTGGTAAACAGAGCTGTCTTGGCCATGACGACTTCCCTGCATCCTGAAAGAAATGAAAAGATTTCATGCTGATGACTCATTTAGGTGATCAGAACAAAATGCTATGAGGCCAAGATGATTCTACTTAATGAGGGAGTCAAGGAGGGCTTTGCACAGGAGAGGTATCTGCTATGGGCCATGAAGGAGTAATTGTCTTTAAAGGTGGGAGAAGGCACCATTCCCAACAGTGAGAACGTGAGGTCAAAATGTTCCAGCACTAGGGAACCAGCAGTTAGGGTAATGGCTATGTCGCTGGAACCCCACGTAGTTGACCATGGTTCGCATCCCGGACCTGGTGGCTTAGAACTCAGGCCGGGCGCGTGTGCGTGCGTGCCCAAGATCCCGAGAGGAGAATGGAGGAGAAGGGATTGCGGCATGACCATCCCCCCTGGGGGGTGATTTCTCGCTTTCTGTCTCTATGTCTCTGTCTGTCTGGCGAGCACACACACCCTATAGCAAAAACCTCTCAAAAAAAATGTTCCAGCACTAGAGGAGCCATCTATGATGACAGGAGCCAAGGGTTCATGGAGCATGTGGGCAGGGTCTTGATGGTCAGGCTGCACTGATTCTGAAGGGCTCCAAGTATCAAAAAATAAAGATGCTGAATTTATTCAACAGGCTCCCGCCCCGCCCCCATATACTATCAGAATTAGATGTGTAATATGTATCCCTTTATAAAAAGACTTTTGGAAATAAATTTCTTTACTACAATTTTCAAGGTCTTCTTTAATTGTCTAATGCAGTAGTTCCCAACCTTTTTGGGCACCAGGAACTGTTTCAAAGGAAGACCATTTTTCCACGAATGGGGGGTGGGGGTTGTTTTGGGATGATTTAAGTACACTACATTTATTGTGCATTTTATTTTTATTACTATTACATTGTACAACTCAAAATATGCAGTATTTACTACTGTTCCCCACTGCTGGCATCACCTTCTCAGCTCCAACTCAGATAATCTGGCAGATTTTCACAAGAAGTGCACAACTTAGATCCCTCACATGCACTGTTCACTGCAGGATATATGCTCCTATAAGAATGTAATGCTGCAGCTCATCTGACAGAAAGCAGAGCTCAGGCAGTAATATGAGTAATGGGAAGTGGCCGTAAATACAGATGAAGTGTCACTGGCTTGCTGTCTGTTCATCTCCTGCTGTGTAGCCTGGTTCCTAATGGTATTGGTCCATGGCCTGAGGGTTGAGGACCCCTGGTACATCAAATCTCAAAAAGATGGTGGAAAGCATGCAGTATTTCCTAAACTTCTTTGGCTAAGAGGCTCTTGTTTCAGAAGACCTTCAGTAACAGGAGCCTAGCTCTAGAAATGGGACGGGGTCAGACCAAGGCTTGAGAGGCTTACCCTGAGGCGCTGTAAAAGAGGGAGTGGGGTGGGCAGATCAGAAGACAATAGGCTTTTCTTAGGAGAGAGACAGCAAGGTTGAAGAATACTTGAGGGGACAATGATTTCATCATCACGTTATTCTCCACATGGCTCAAAAACCAAAATGTTTCTTTTTCAATTTTAAGAAAAAGTATTCTGAGATGTTCACTATTGCCCCCATCTCTAGCCTCTCTGTTCAAGGAGGGGGTATATTTGGAAGTTATGTGGAGGAAGAACAGATAAGACCTGGGGCTACATAAATAATAAGGACTGAGATTAGAATCTTGAACATAAGGGACCAGCAGTTAGCATAATGTCTATGTCGCTGGACTCCCATGTAGTCAACCGTGGTTCACGTCCCAGATCCGGTGGCTTAAAACTCACACCGGGCACGTGTGCGTGTGTGCCCAAGATCCCGAGAGGAGAATGGAGGAGAAGGGATTGTGGTGTGGCCATCCCTCCTGGGAGGTGATTTCTCGCTTTCTGTCTCTCTGTCTGTCTCTGTCTGTCTGGCGAGCACATGCGCCCTATAGCAAAAACCTCTTAAAAAAAAAAAGAATCTTGGACATAAAAAACACCTTTAGAAATTGCTTCTTTAAACCTTTCACCCAGTGTCTCTGTCTCCTAATGTTGTCTGATGTCTTCATCATATTACTCACTCTTCGACACATTCCTATTTATCATTGTTTTCAAGACAATATTGTCTCAGAAAACACAGCCAATAATAATACCCAGAAAGGAGTCTGATCTTAATATCTCTATCATTTTTGAGTGATAGTTTTATTGAATATGGAAGTCTCAGTTTATGGTCTTTCAACATTTTGAAAGGTCATCTCATTGCCTTCTGACTTTCATGATGTCTAAAGAGAAATCAGCTGTTAATATTACTGAGGATTACTTACGTATGATTTGTCACTTGTCCTTTTTTGTTTTAAAGGTTTTCTGGTTTTAGACAATTCTATTGTGTTATGTCTAGATATAGAGCTCTTCGGGTTAATCGTAGTGGTTTTCCTGTTCCTCTGGCTAAATATCCCTGATCTAGACATGGGGTGGCCCAGAGAAATCTAATATCCTAGGACTATAGGAGTCACAGATGAGATATACAAGTCACTGGAGACATGTCTGGTGATGAAGTCCAAGCAGAGTCTATGATTTGATAAAGTCAGGTGGGAAGATAAGGATTAATTGTGTCTTAACTCTAAGTCTGACTGTGGACAATTAAAATTCCTTGTTCCTGTTTGGTTAAGTTTGAAAAGTGAGATAATAAGAAATAGTGGGAAACAATATACCATTTTTAGTAATACATGATTTCAACATTTCTCCAACAAGAAAGATAAATATATTTTTGAATAGGGAAATTTTTATTTACTTCTAATACTGGGATCAAAAAGAACTCTGGCAGGGGACCAGCAGTTAGCGTAATGGCTATGTCACTGGATTCCCACGTAGTCAACCACGGTTCGCGTCCCGGACCTGGTGGCTTAAAACTCACACCGGGCATGTGTGTGTGATTTCTCGCTTTCTGTCTGTCTCTGTCTGTCTGGCGAGCGCATGCGCCCTATAGCAAAAACCTCTCCAAAAAAAAAGAACTCTGGGGAACCAACAGTTAGCGTAATGGCTATGTCGCTGGACTCCCACGTAGTCGACCGCGGTTCGTGTCCCGGACCCGGTGGCTTAAAACTCACGCCGGGCGCGTGTGCGTGCGTGCCCAAGATCCCGAGAGGAGAATGGAGGAGAAGGGATTGCGGCGTGACCATCCCCCCTGGGGGTGATTTCTCGCTTTCTGTCTCTATGTCTCTCTCTGTCTGTCTGGCGAGCGCACGCGCCCTATAGTGAAAATCTCTCCAAAAAAAAAAAAGAACTCTGGGGAGCTGGCAGGTGACATGATGGTTAAGGTACCAGACTCCCACATGGCTGACCACAGTTTGAGTCCCAGACCTGGTGGCATGGCCTCTCATTTTTCCTTTCCCTCCCTCCCTCTGGTTAAATTAGTAATGATAATAAATAAAATAAGTAAAAAATAATAATCCAGGTCTGGCTAAGCATCTTCTTCTATCATTTCCTTGGGGCAGGGGGAGGGCATGTCTGTGTTCACAGCCTTAACATTTCTCAATTCTTTCACTGTGGTGATTTCCATTACACAGCATTTGCCACAAGTCACAAACCCTTTCAAAACTTCTCACTTTACTTTTTTTTTTTTTTTAAAGAGGTTTTTGCTTTTGGGTGTGTGCACTCACAGTAGAGAGAGACGGAGATAGTGAAAGGAAAAGTGAGAAATTACCCCCTCCAGGGGGAGGGGTGCTGTGGATGGCCATCCTGTAATACCTTCTCCTCCATTCTCCTTCTAGGATCTGGGCGCGCGCGCGCGCGTGCACACACACACACACACACACACACACACACACACCTGGTGTGATTTTGAAGACACTGGGTCCATAACTCAAATGGTGGTCAACCATGTGAGAGCCCAGGAATGTAACTGCTATGCCATCTGCTGGCCCCACCCAGTTTTCTTTGTAAAAACCTTCCTCCCTGGGCTCTCCCTTACCTGTCTGAGGGGCTGGCAGGGCCAATAGGGTCAACAAGTACATATCTCATTCTACCTGGGGTTATCATATTAAAAACCCAATTTGATACCTTTATCTGTGGTAAATCTAATTACAATCCAACCCATGCATATTGGGAAAAGAGAGAATTTTGCCATTTTCCTTATTTGTCGCGACCGTTTTTCATTAGTGTAGAGAACCCTGGCTGTGTGGCTAGTAGCTCTCTGCCTTTCCCTGAGTAACTCCGTGACATAACAGCAGCCCTTTGTGGAGTAGAAATGTCTATGATTCCTGCCATCACCACTTGACTGAGAAATTATTTTCTCTCCTTTTTTAACAACATATTCATCTTTACTGCCACAGAACAGTGTTCTTTCTTAACAGAATTATAAGGGCTACAATAAAAGTTTGTATTTCTAAGACAATCATTCTTATCTTATTGGCACGAGTCTTTATATAATGACAACTATTTATGTTCTCTGAAGATTTAACATATATTACATAGTTACCTCATTTTCCTCCCTTCCTCTTGGTAGTGATTATTACCCTAAAGTGGGTGTGTACCTTTCCGTATCAGTTAGAATCCCAACAGGAAACAGATGGTATGTGTGAATAAAAGAATTCAAAAAGGGATTATTCTAAAGAAATCAGTTACGAAGCTATAGAAGGGAGCCACAAGGGGACAATGCAAGGGCTAGACTGAAAGGATAAGGGGAGCAAGCAATTACCAGAACATAGCCGAAGAATGTGTTTTGTATAAATGGCTCCTTGAGAGAAACAGTGATGTTGGACAAGGAACATAACCTAATACTCTGCCCACCCTCTCCCAAATATCTCCAGTTTTCTGAGGCCTTTCCCAAATGCTCTACAGTGGCTAGATTCAAAGGGAAGTCAGAAAACCCAGGCACCCCACTTGGAATGAATACAGAAAAAGGTGAAAAGTGGATCTGGAGGGCCAAACAGAAGAGAAAACACGAGACATTACTAGACAAAGACTTTAATCAGCTATTTTAAATATGTTCAAAGAACTGAGGACCAGCAAGAGGAGTGGCACTGGAAACTCATATGTGGTCAACCATAGTT